ATGATAAATAAAATTTTATATTAATAATAGGCAACATATGCCCATTTTAATCAAGATTGAATAAGTATCCTTGTTCGAGACATCTTCACGTTGTTTAGATGTCTCCGCCTGATGTATCGATTATGAACGTAACCCCATACCGTACATAAGATTCGTTAAGAGCTGAATAGATGGTTGAATATAGTCAGTTTCTACATTAGTTTATAAAGCTGCCAACTAAGTATGACCGTTTATTACAATATTTTATTTCATCTATTTGCCTAATATATTGGTAGGGTTATAAAAGGTAGTTTGACTTAAACAGGACGTAACTAATTGAGTTAATTTAGCCTGAATTCGTAGCTGAATTAGAAAGAATTCGAAAGATTTCCTTCAGCAACTATCAGAACAAATACGCCATTTGCATTGAATAGTCTTTTGACTAGGGCAGGAAGTCGCGCTGATTGTACTGGCGAATACTTTCAATCATAACGTACATATTAGCTTTCAATCAATTAGAAGAAGGAAGAAATGGGCTTTAGTCCTTTCCTGCATTTATGACATGACGGTGGCAGACCGCAAGCGTGCTAATTACGGTCACAGACTCTATATTTTTATTTGGTACAACCTTGTTTCATGGTTACCCTAACGCACAAAATTCTGCTTCTCCAAATTTCTTAATGCATATCCTCGATTTAGGACAATATTAACTAGAATGACAAAAGTTTAAATTATTAAATAATTTCAACCAAACGAAGATATATATATATATATTGTAACATTGAAATTGCTACAGGGGTTCAGTTTGATTTTACCTTTACAAAGATTAAAAATAATGTAGCATCGAATATTATTGGGTTCCATGCAACAATAGCGAATTTAAAGTCATTGAAATACTGACTTATTTTAACTTCGGTGCTGGAATAGTCGTTACCACAGAAGATCACACGATTAATCTTCAAAAGAAGAGACAAGCTTCCAAGTTTTGCTATTTACTTCTTAACTTAAAATTTTATATACTTTTAAGCCAGATATATTTGTTGAGAAAAGAAATATTTGTCAAATGGATACTTTTATGGTAATTTCCAAATTATTACTCAAAATGAGGTGGATCAGTAAGCAAACAAGATTTAACTAATACTCAGCAATATCTATGCCAGATTCTCTCAATTATAGAACGGGTCCCAAAATTAGCCAAGATTTCACAAATTTATGGACAAAACAGGTGCTTGTCACGGAATACGTGATGTGATGTTTTGGACTGAGCTGTAGGTGTACATGGGGTGCGTATTAATGGTTGAAGAGAGCTTTACCTTAATGGCCGTCAGAAAGGGAAAAAATTATATGTTAATTGAGTTCTTAGTTCTCACATGTTCTGCATTTTTGCATTTTTTGATAATATATGTTTTCATAAGAAAATATGTTACAAATGGTTTAAAAATATAAATGTAAAATTCTAAAATTAAATGTAGAATAAATAAAAGAGGAATGAGCCGAGTTAAAAATATCGATTAAAACAAATAAATAAGAGACAAGATATGTTGCGCCCTGTGTGTGATTTATCTGGCATTCCGCTCTTGCTCTTGTTTTGCATAAGTCCCCCTCTTGTGTCGTGGTTGTTTAGCCTCCTCCTGCATTTTACAACAATTTGTTTTCCAATTGAAACAATATTTCGGCATGTCTAGGAGAGACTATTCTAAGCACTCAAAGCGTTTTGATCAGGATAAAGACGAAGAGGAACTTGATTATGTATGCAAACATATTTTCATAGATATCATAAAGCAGAATCTATAGAATTATTTACATTCTTTGCATTTTTAGGGCGAAATCGACGATGATATTAATGATCAATCTCCTCGAGAGGAGGGTGAAGCTATTTCCGAAGATGGCGAAGCCTCAAGTGATAATACAAATTCCTTAGAAACAGAATTACAGGAACGCGAATATCGTCAACGTTTGGCTCAAAGAAAAGTTGAAAGAGAAGCTGAGGCATCGCAAACTGTTCAGCTTCCTCCGCGATCCAAGTTTGACTCGCCTGAACATTCTGACGTAATTCACAATCCTTCCAGCACTGCTCCCTTGCTCAATCCTTCCACTTCGCCAAACAATAGTGGCGAAAGCAGTTCAGACACGCATTCACGAAAACGAGGCCACGAACATATAACTGATAATGATAAATTACCTCCGAAAATTCCAGCTTCATCACGTCATGTTGGGACACGCCATCGCCATCATCACCGGTCTCATCAAAGTAAATCAGATAAACGTGAAGGTGGTTCTGATCCTCACGACAACTCGTTATTATCGTCTCATCTATTGCACAGTCCTGCGAAGAAGAGCAAAACCACTGATACTACTCCAGTTGTACCTGGCGGAGCTTTTAATGCCCGCTTGCCTCCAGGTCGGGCCCCAGTAATCGATGGGAGTCGTTTTAAATATTTAGAGGAGTCTGAAGAAGATGATGATGATTATGTAGCTATTGAAAAGGAAGTATATGGAGGTGAAGATGGAGATTTACTTCGAGCAAATGGAATTGAAATCCAAGGCCAGGGAGATGCAGATATTCCCTCTGAGCATGAGCGACCTCCTGTAAAACCTTTCTATTTTCCCTCGATTCAAGGCTGTCGTTCTGTTGATGAGTTTGAATGTCTTAATCGAATTGAAGAGGGGACTTATGGTGTTGTGTACAGAGCGAGGGATAAAAAGACTAATGAAGTGTTCGCATTGAAGCGGTTGAAAATGGAGAAAGAAAGGGAAGGTTTTCCGATTACATCATTGAGAGAAATTAACACCCTCATGAAAGCACAGCATGAAAATATCGTCACCGTGAGAGAAGTTGTTGTGGGATTTGACTTGGATAAAATTTACCTTGTCATGGAGTACGTGGAACATGATCTCAAGTCGCTTATGGAAGTAATGAGTGGTCCGTTTACTGTTGGACAGGTTAAATGCTTGCTCATTCAATTGCTTCGAGCTGTGCAACATCTTCATGACAACTGGATTCTACATAGAGATTTGAAAACATCAAATCTTCTCCTTAGTCACAAAGGGATTCTTAAAGTTGGAGACTTTGGTCTAGCTAGGGAGTATGGTTCCCCTCTTCAGCATTACACCGAGGTCGTTGTCACGCTTTGGTATCGAGCTATTGAATTACTTCTTGGTAAGCAATCCTTAATTCTATTATCTTAAGCCATTTGACCGTAGCTACTAACCAAATCTTGATTCGCATAGTTTTTCTCTCGTTGTGTTTATTGTTCTAAAGAACGAGGTTATTTATGATTAGTTTGCCCACCCTGCTTTTTATCAAATGATATTCTAGTTCGAAATTAAATGTCGGAATCACTAGTAGAAAATGGTCCATTTGTAATCTGTTTCCATGAGGCAGGTTATATGAGCTGCATGCCCACAAATCAGTTATAGGATTTGCTTTCTTGAGTCTAATCATTTGCTAGCTGCTAGTGAATTGTAACCCTTTTGTTTCTCGCTTACCGACTGGGCTTTTACTTAAGGTTCCAAAACTCTTCATTGTATCTTCAGCATTTGTTCAGGTTTGTTAGATACATATTTTCAGTTGTTATTGTACTTTTTATAATCAATATCAAGTGATTGCTAGCACCTCCTGATGTCCTCGAATTCGGCACTTGTTCAAGCTTTCTTGTCTGCATTTAATATTTGAGACTGAATGGGCAGTTCTCAACTTATTTAGTTGTGAATTATGATGCTTTGGTTAATTCTACCGTAATCTTCGATTCCATTGATTATACATTTTAAATAATGAAGTAGTTATATCTTTACTATTTCTGCTGCTTCTCCCCCTTTTCAGGAAGTAAGTCTTACTCCACTGCAATCGATATGTGGTCAGTGGGTTGTATCTTCGCAGAGTTTCTCCTCCAGCGTCCTCTATTCCCTGGCAAAGGCGAGGTGGATCAGGTCAATATGATCTTCCGTGACCTTGGTACACCCAACGAACGCATTTGGCCAGGTGTATCTAAACTACCTGGAATGAAGAACACCATGTTCACTGAATACCCATACAATCAGTTACGTCGTCGCTTCACAGAAAGGCAAATATCTACCAGCGGATTTGAACTTCTTACTAGGTGCGCTTAATTTATCTTTATTATTAGTTGTGCTGGTGTATTTTACTCTTTTTTTATATTATCTTGTGCGCTATTTTAACAAATCTGCCGAATATAGAAGTAGTTGGGAAGTTTGATCTCCCGGGAATGGTGCCTGTCTGAGATCACACACCTATCTCGTCACGATCTTCTCGATAATACAAAACTGAACAATTAAGGTTTTGAGGAAGGTTATGAGCTACGCGATGAAATAGAGAATCAGGAAAGTTTATATGCTGAGCTTATTCTGAGATTGGCAAAAATTTTGCTGCTATTAATGTGGGAAGAGTAAAATACGTCATTGAGGAGACTTCAAAGTTGGCCACAGTGTTTGACTTCAGGTCAGTTGAGGTACAGTAAGATGCCTGTGTTGGTCGTAAAGTCAGTTCGCAAGTCTCCTGTTTCATGATCTGATCTGTATTTGTGTTTTCCTTAATTTTAAAATGTTTTTACTTTTTGAGTGGCTTCTTCAATACGCTCTAAGCACCCTTCTTTATTTTGTAGAGCTTAGTGGTTCTAATTAAAATCCTCAGATTTGCTAAATGGCTTTGCTTAAATAATGTAAAATGGTGAATTAAATGAATTTTCTCATAAATACAACTGTTCTAATTTTTGGGATCACCTTATAAGAATAGATCATTTATGAAGTCTATAATACTATTCCACTTTATCAATCTCTACCTTTTTTAATTACACTTGTTTTAGTGATCACCTGTCCATCGCGTATTAACGTCTAATTTTGTTAAATATTATCTAATTACAAAGACTTTTTTATTACATTAAAACACCTTACTCAAAGCTTAGGAAGTCTAAAATATTCTTGTTCGGATCTAAAAGCCGATATCCCAGTCATGAATAGAAAAAACTCGTGTTATCGCTATAATAAAAACTTATTAAAACTCAACTTAAAGTATATACATTATAACTTAATTTGTAATTGTTCATATTAGAAATTTATGGGATAAGCGTTATTGTTGGTAAGTCTTAAAAACGCCACTTCGTGTGTTTGTACATTATTATATGCACTTTAACTATAAAATTTAAGGAGTTTGACATTTTCTTTCTTTCTCAGTCTCCTGACTTATTGTCCCGAGCGTCGGCTAACAGCAGAGAAAGCCCTCACCCATCGTTATTTCACCGAACGTCCTCAGGCCATCGATCCATCCATGATGCCCAGCTGGCCAGCCAAATCAGAAGGTTGTGGTCGGCCATCCACAGCAGCGGGATCTAAGCGTCCAACGTCTCCCAAACCTCCACCAGGAGCCACTGGAGCCCTACAAGAACCCCCGCCACCCCTCGGTGCCTCGCGTTTTTTTGCAATCTCTGGCGCTTCGAAAAGAACTCCCTCGAAGTTTGGCACCTCCGGTGCTGGAAGTGGAGCGAGGGGTTCGGGTCCGGATCATGGATTTCTTTTGAGATTCTAAGTACTTTCCAATTTCCCTCTTCTCCCCTCATTGTACATTACTCTATTATTGCTGTAAAAAAGTTTTAATTGTGTTTATTTTACAATAAGACATTGGCCTGTGTAAAAGTTGTGGTTTTCTCTAATTATTTTAACCCAGCAATGGCTTTCATTATTTACGGCACATATTATTGAATTATTAAAGATTTGAATACTTCCAGGTAAGGTTGTTGGGTTGTTCCTCGACTATGAGTTCGCTTTCGTTGATTGTGGCTTATCTTGCGTTTACATTTTCTTGTTCGCTTTTGTTTCACTTGCTTGTATGTAATTTTGCATGCTTCATTAGAACTCTTCATTCTGTGCAGTGTTGCAGCAGTTCATATTTATCAGAAATGAACATAAATGGGAGTTCAGGAGTCATTAAATTATACGGTTTCAACTATTTAAGGGCATAGACCAATAGAAGGACTCACGTTCCTCCTTCCCTTTTTATATCGAGTTTGTTAGCGTTCCCCACTGCTAACCGAAAACGTTATTAAGCGAAATTTACTTGAGTCTCTACCATTTTATGTATACTTGAATCACACAAGAAGAGTGATCAAGCCCTTCTCCAAGCCAATTTATTAGTTTATTGAGGAATGCTATTAAAGGTTAACCTACTGCCAAGTCGATTACAGCTTTGCCCAGATTAATTGTCAAGTTGCCGGTGTCGGTGTGCATTTGTATGTTAATGAGAATTGCTCATCCCCAGGGCAAATGACTGCCTTTGTCCTTGCAGTTTGTGTTGATACTTTGTTAGTAAGTAAAGACGAACAAACTGTCTATCGACAACATGGATCTGCCCCCTTTTCCTTAAGTTGGAATTGCGCTCCTCTATGAATTACACTTTATTTAAGCACAATTTAATACTCCGGATTACCGTCTTCCTCAAATGATACTTTGAGATCTTCACTCAATCTAGAGTTGGTTTGACGCTTTTCTAGAGGGTTAGTCGAAAGATCATTCGATCTTAGATTTACCCCAGGTCTTAACAAGAAATTGAATCCTTAAACTTACTGTCAAAATAAGCGAATAATTGCACTTTAATTTGATTAGTTGACGACTTATTTGATTAAGTTTGTAACAACATGAAGGGAAGGTATCATTATAATTGGCTCTTCATTTTATCTTTATATTTACTGATTTGCTTCTTTGGACGTTTATTAATTTACAATAATTCTAAGCCCATCTAGTTAAGTGTTTTCAGACGTTCATCTTGGATAGAGAGTAATCCCATAGAAGGACCCCGGTGAGATGCTTGAATTCTTTAGCTTTCTATATTAGCCAAACTTAATAAGTGCGACTGGCCAATCCGTTTACTGGGTGGGTGTCTATGGGAATCGAGCCCACGGTTTCAGCCAAGGTTGACGTGTATGACAATGTTATCGAGTTCCAATACGCGGTATCTGGAGTAAGGAAATATCCGAATTAGCTCAGTGAATATAATGACTAATTTTTATTTCTTAAGCTACTTATTCCTAGTGGAACTATTGGTTTTTAGGAATTGCCCATTCAATGGGATCTTTTGTAGATCTACTAGATTGCTCGTTTGTGTAAATTGTGAATCACGGGCGGTCAGCCGCACATGTGTACTTGAGCCCGTAGTCATAACAACGGGGTTATTAGTCACTTAATTTATTTGACCAATCACAATAATGCCCTTGGGTGAGGCTAGGTACGCGCGAAATCTTCCTCCCAGTGTTTAGAGAGTACAGTCTTTCCTGGTGTTTCTTGACGCTTTCAGTAGGGAACGATATGCTAACTTCTTCAATCAGTTCTAATGGAATTCCATTGGATTTGGAGTTTTCTTTGGATGAAATTCGAGCGGAATTGGAGAAATTGGGCATAAAAGAAACCTCTCTAGCCCAATTGACTGCTATCAAGGCGGATTTGGACAAAATGATTGCTCGCGATCTGGACAGTCTTTCCCTTGATGGAAGTGGGGATCGCACGCTTGGATCGAGCTCTTTGACCACTACAAGTTCCTTCTCGGTGAGTTTATTTTTAAAAATCTGCTAACCTATTGCTTAATTTCCTTGACTTTGGTCCTTTCCTACGCATTTGGCTAGAGACTCACAGATATGGCAATACAAAACCCGAGGAAGTTATAGAACCTCTGGCATAGTGATGAGAAGGAAAATTTGCATTATGCGATGCAATTTCATCGTTTACTTTCGTAGCATCCGAATCGTATATTTTGTCAGTGTTAAAATAGGGCTCTCTAAGTGACCTTTCCTTTTCATTGATTTTTTCTTCAACTAGACAGGTTGCTTATTACGATCTTTTCAGCTATTCTCTTCGCTATCGCATTTGAAACCAGTGGAAGAGGACTTGTATAATGCTAATTCTCCACTGGTATAGCCTAGACTACCACTCTGTCATTAATGCGCGTTCACCAAGGTGGAGATCAATTTGAAGAACCATGTCTCAAATAGACTAATTATTAAGGAAGCCAAGGTGCATATAGCTTGTTGGGCACGATGAATTGGTTGGTAGGGCGAAGTGTAGTATTGGCAAAACTTAATCAAAAACCAGTATCCAGATCTCACTGGCAGCATTTTTTATAAATTCCTTTCAGAAAGCCACAAATCTACAAAATTCAGTTTTTTGAAACTTTAGAAGGAAAAATGGAAAGCACTTTGCTTTACTCCCTCCATTTTATAATCGCTTTTCTTTAAATCGTCTTCAACATGACACCCTAATAATGTCTTACATGAATCTGTTGTAATGAATTTAAGGACTTATTCAAATTAAGTTTATCACATAAATACACCCGTATGCTTATTGACATTTATTTACATAAATCAAGTCTGAAGACTCGGATTTGACGTTGACAATTGATCCATCCACCGATGAAAGAGAAGGCAACGAAACGCAATCCAATGAAGTCGACCGTGGGTTGGCCGATGTAATATCATCCTTGAAGGATTTTGAAGTGCAGTTTTCACAACGTAACTGCCATTCAGGTAAGTGTCTACAAATTTCAATTTCATTTACTAAAGAACCATCCGCTTATGAAACTGGTAGCGAAGTTCAGTTCATGAGGTTCTTGGGTTTTGATGAGTATACCGGTATTGCCACTATTTCTTAATTAATTTCTTCAGCGCCATTCGATTTTGTCTATATGCTCGCTTTTAGCCAATTCTACGGTTCGCAAACGGTGGATCGATCCCATTCACAACAATAACGATTTTAACAGAGAAATTGTAAGTAACTATCTTTGCCTATTGTGATTTGCCACTTTTTTCTATCCGCCACCCTCTCGTCTATTCTCATTTACTGCTTTTTTGTTAATCCGACTCCATTTAGGTTCTCTCTTTGACTTATTCTTTCTGCCCGCATCTTACACAAACTTAGCGAAGTGGTCATAGTATCTGCACGCTGTCTCTTCACCCATTGACTTGTTTTTTAACCAAATAGTTCTCCCATATTTCTCCATCCTGACATAAGATTCCTCATCATACTCAACGTATTCTAGCTTTTCTAAGCAGATGTCTACTTCTTTGCTATTTGTAAAAGAGAGGGGTTGCCTATAGAGTAGCAATTTAAGCCGAGTTGATCACTCTGGATTTTGGGATTTCAAGGACGATGCACCCCACATATGAGTGACTTTGTCCGATAAGCATTTCATTAGACAAAATTGCATAATTGTTCCTCCTCAATCATGAAAAAACTTTGCCTCTTACCTTGCTAAGGTTGCAACGTCTAAACGCGGCTCTCTCCGTACCAGTTGCAGTGTCCAATCAAAAGGAGGATCTTCGAATAACAAATTTATAGAAAATTTCTCCTCCGCCTCTCCTCTTTGTAAGCGTTTTTATCCCTTTGTGAATTTTTTTTGCATTATTGTATATGGTCTGCTTAAGTTCTATTTTTGCATTTCAGATGAGACTAATCCTGCTATTCTTGGGAGAACTCACGTCAGTAGGGTTCCACTACGGTCGAGTCAGCTGGAAAACACTGGTCTCGATCGAAATTTTCCAAGACCAGCGTCGGCTCCAACTCGTAGGGTAATTATTTATAGTTGACCCTCCAAAATATTTACTCTAGATATTACATCAGATCGGTTTTACAATAATATTAAGTATGTTTTTACGTGATTTTATTGTTCAGCATTCCAAGTTATTTTCATAGTGCAGTTAATGAACTAGGGATTTCGAGTGATTACATTATCAAACTTGGGGGCCTTGTTTACGAAACTCTGTTCTTGAACTACAATGCTAACAGTTTTTTTTGCCTTGTCACAAATTAGAAAATCTCTACTTAAATTGAATAATTATTTGAATCGAAGAAACGAGAAATCATTCTAATGCCTCAACCCATATTGGAATTCTTATTGCCTTGCACATGTTCGCTTAGTCGCAACTCATTGTTAACCAGTTAATCTTACAACCTGGGGGTATATTAATTAATTAATATCAAATGGCAGGCTTTATGATAGTCATCATTAGCTTTTTAGTTGACTTCGAGCTTCCCAGAGGGGTGGAACATTAAAGGCACAAAAATTCAAGAGGGTGGGGGAGGACAGAAGATTGATTCACAGGTGTAATAGAGACAGACAGACACAAAGGTAGAGAAAAAGATAAGGTAAGGTGGGTACTGTGGGCATGATTAAGAGGCCATGATTCCGGTGACATTGAAGACCTCCCAATGGCCGTAGTAAAAAGACCTAAAAAGAAGCAAACGCCTTAGCTACTTGTCTCCAACTCACCCCTCTATTTACATCTTTAGCTCTTTCCGTCAAATCAACGACGAGGAGTGAATCGAAGTGATCCAGTGTCTCTGTGGAGAATGTACAACAGTCAATGGGAGCGTCAAGCAAGAAATAACTTAACCAGTGAGCGAGCCTTACGCTGGTCGGTGAAAGCTGCAATGGCTGTTCGGGAAGTCCCTCTCCTAAATTCCTCTCGGCGCTCTCTTCTTTACGGCCCCTTTTCCTCAGTAATTAAATTTTCTATCTTGAATGGTTTCAAGTTGTTTGGTTAATTGTCTAAACACGTTTTAATTGTATTTTAGCATCGACTTTGATTAAGAGTGCTATCGGCTCTTGGTAGCAATTTCTACTTACTAAAAAACAAGTAGTACTATAATTTCGGTTGACGATGTGATTGATTCCAGCAATCCCTTTCAAATGTTCGTGTTTACATTTTGCTTCTGTTTATAGGTATTGTGAACTGTGGATAATAAATGGTTGTAATATTTAAAATGTTCTCTTTTCATAAAAGTTTTTTTATTATCCTGAATTGGAATTTGTATTTTTCATTTAGTAGTGAATATGATTTCTTTGTTGTATGATATCCAATCTTCTCGCATCTATTTACCTTTATTGTTTAAAGGATAATTAAAAGGAAGTTCTTCAAATATTTCATACGTTGAAATTCCTACCCTGATTTTGGGCGTAGATCTTATATAACTCCTGAAGTTATTGTATGAGATTCAACAGGCATAGAACGGTTCCATCATGCTAGGGCAGAATTTAACGTCACCTAACCATTCCTCAAGTGTTTAGACCTAAATTCTGTGCCTGATGTCCACTTTCTGGGAAATTATTAATTTTATCGATAAATTTGGAAAGACGCGTTGACGTTTCATATTCGCCCTACTTTGAACCAGTGAAAGAATTCGAGCTTGGCGAAAAGAACGAAGTTGGGCTACAGCGTTGATAGTCTCGTAGGAAAACAGGACAGTTATCGATGAGTAATGTTTGAACATTCATATTTTAAAGAGTAAAAACATGGCCTAACTTAACTGACGATTTTGTGCGAAATTGTGATCAATTCAAAAAGTACTCTGTTTGAATCTTCTTACATTAGAAAGTTTATCTCAACAATACAGAAACTAGAGCGTCTCATGAGACGTCCCATTTTTCATATTATAAATTTCGACTACTGTTTTTTTCTAACTTTTTTTAACAAACTTTCTCAACTCTAAAACGATAAAGCCTCATACGAATGCCTCGATTTACATAAAAGTCTAGGCATCTGTAGTTCATCCAACTATCTGTTATCTGGCTAATTTACAATTCACGATATTTCAAGAGCCTTCCATCTCTATAAACCTCTTCCTTTATTCCACCCTCTTCATTATTTCTTCTAAATATTCCTCTGACTTTACTTAACTTTTTAATTGCTTTTAAATCCTTGTAGTTCTTCTAGAAGCGCGTTCCTTCGCATTTGACTAATTAGCGTTGAAGAATGTAGCGGTGTTTGGGCCTATAATTACCTTAGTAATTGCTCATTATGAACTCTAATTGAATATTTTCGATACCATATAAAGATATTATGATCCTTATCTCCCCTGCATTTAATTATCGAATATTGAACTTCCACTTCCGTACTTGGGGATATGAGGGCTTAGTTGAGACCACCTTTTAATATAATAAGGTGCAATCTTGTAGCGGACTGCTACACCAATAAGCCTAGACTTTACCCAGTGATCTCTACTATCGATGGACTTCCCAAACTAGTTAAGCTATTACAAAGCTATGGAGGAAAGAGACGAGCGAGGAGGAAAATGTTTATTTAGGACGTAGCACGTCAGTCCTGTGCACAGGAAGGAACTTAGTCATTATCAACATGGCGGATCCGGTAAAACAAATGGGCGTCTCTGATTGGTTAATGTCGGTGAGTTCGCCGCACCTGGTCCGTACGCGAGTTTGCACATGATGTTGGCTAAGCGATGATGTGTCCCACAATCTAAATGCATACTATATCATTTTGGGAATGAAATCGAACTAATTTTTCTCATTGAATTCTCCAGACTATCAAATCAGCTATTATATCGGAATGCAATTTCAGTAGCTACTCTTGGATATTCTATTCATGTAATTCATTCAATATTTCATCTTGTACCTTTCCTACATGTACGTTGTTAAAGTGAAGTTTATTATACTTGTAAGAAGAGTGGCCTATAGTGACCTCTATCAAGACCCGACATAGAGACAATTCCTATAATATAACTCGAAGTAAAAAAATTATTATTCAAAAGCAGTCGCCATCATTTTTATGTGCACAAGCACCTTAACTTGAACTTGAGATGTTGGTGGCTATATGACCTAATTCTTGTAGTGTCAGCGCAGTGATCCGGGCTGTGTTTCACGTTGGGTCACTGAGAGTGCAAGAGAATACTTGCACATGTTTCTGGAAAGAGTTTAGGAAGTAGAAATTGCTGACATTAGCAGAAAAATCGATTTTCCCGTCTTTTCGCCAAAGATATGGTTTGATCGGACAACCTAAATTCTATGATAAATTATTTCGGTAACATAGGGGTGTACGATAGACTTACCTCCACGTGGTGGACTATGGGTAACGATACTCATACGATGAAAAAATCAATTAACGGACAGTTGACTTCTCACTTCAAACTACCATCATCCCGCTGTATGTCATGTGTCTGTCTCTTACATCTTTGAAACACTCTTCTATTCCCCCCCTCTCGAGTTTTTTTTACTTTGATGTTCCTTCCCCTCTGTGAAGTCCGATGTCAACTAAAGGGCTAATGATAACTATCAAAGCGCCTGCCATTTGATATAAATAAATTTCGGCAATAGAAAATATTTTGCACAATTCAGTGATTATGTATCCTCTTAAACAGATGATTCACGATTAACTAAATGTATAGATATCTAAGTTACTATTGATGTTATGGCTACCAATGAGATTGAGTTAAAATTGGGTTGCAAATTATCATATTTAATCTCGAGGCCAGAATCCATTCTGTTCTATGCTAATCATCCAGCAGGATGAGTCGGGCGATTAAACATGGCGCTTTTGAAACAGATTGAAATCATAACCTCGAGTAGACACCCTAGAGCTTGTCTTAGGTCTATTACTTATTGAAGTAAAGCAAAGTCCAACATTGTTCCCCTATCAGATAAATGGCACTTTTTACCATCTTCGAGTTTTCTTCTTAGCATAGTAGAAAACCAAAATCTTCAAGCGGAATTGCTGAAAAACTCAGATGCTACCTGTGTTTCACAATAGTTGCCCAAGGGAGAGGAAAGTATTAAGCACGAATCAGGTCCGTGTATCCGGTAGAGGTCTCACAACAAAGGCATCGGGTCTTGCATGCTCATTGCATGCTACAAGTTCGGAGTAGAAATTCTCATTATCTCATATAAAATTAAAACGGTCTACTGGTGATAAACAATCAGTAATGATGCATATGAACTTATGATCAATGTACTTTATCGAGCTTAGTCTGTCCGATTTCTTCTTAAAATCAAATACTATGAGAGCACTTTTCGAGAAAATTGACTTCAAAGTAGTGCTTATCCGTAGATAGGGTTGTTAAGAAGTACAAGATCCAATTAGCGATTCTTCAATTCTAGTTGAGTACACTTTGGTCGCAGCAAACACATTACAGCAATGTATCTGAATTCGAGTTGAGGAGCCATCACTTTGAAGTTGGGATCATTGCTTATTCATAGAATGCTCTGCTGACAACATTTTAGAATGGAATGAGTTAGTGAAACCAAGCATTCGGCTTCATAATATGGAACAATGAAGATTGCATGGGGTTGTCTATATACAATTTTAAAACAGTTATCGGATAAGTTTTTTATGCGGGCAGAAGATAAGTTAATGATCTGAAACTAGTCTGATGCAACTGTCACTCGATTACCAATGACCCAAGAAAGTGTGCTTATGCTTCGCTTGCTAAACTATTTCTCAATGACTATTTAAAGTCCACTGACTCCAAGACCCTCATTCTACTACCAGAGTAATGCAAAAGATAAGTCCTAACAGCTGTCTGAGCTGAGTCCACTTAAATAACTTTATACAAGTAATCGAATTAGAGAGCAGAATCATAAGATTCAGCCAAAATGCACTTCGGATCACAACTTATAGGTACTTTAAAGACAAGTACAAAATCATATGACAAAGACTATTAAGAAATAATCTTTAGTCAATTGATAATATTGGGTACAATGGTTAGTAGCTCAACACAACAAAATTTTAACTTATTACCCATACTACTAAAGAAATTAACCTTAACTAAATCTCCCTGACACAAGTTCATTAACATAAACTTGGTCCCGAAATTAGCTAAGGTATTTCAACAGTATTGAGGAAAATAACGTTTAGAGTGGAAGGTGTTTTCTACTATTTTTTTGGCCACTGTCTTCAACAATAAGGGTTCATCAGGCCTAGGCTAAGTTGTAGTGACTACTGATTGCTGGTTGGCTGAGATGTCTCTTCACTTACGACTGGTCTGACTCGCTACGCCATCAGCAGCACAATCGCACTTTTTGGTGCCTATGAGATCCTTTGATTAGAATTTGTAACGTTATAAACTCAACAGTTCTCTCCCCAACCCCCCCCCCCCTCGTCAAGCTTTGTTAAGTAGCTAAAGAGTAGAAAATAGGGGGAAGGTAAATTTCCGATCACAACGAGTATGAGAAACTGTGGGTCGATATTAACAAGTTGATGGTGGTGGTTAATAATATCTAGAAGCGACGACTGTAATTAAAGCGTTGAATAGAGCCCCGTGCCATTCGTGCGCAATTGAACAAGAGCGTTGAAATGGTGACATTAGCAGTGACTAATGCTAAATTGTTCAGAATGAGAGGCATAATTAGGACAGTCTCAAGAGCGTGGCGTTTGGTTAGTTTGAGGGTTAATTTGTATGTATGATGGTTTGAAGAGCGGTAGACGGCGATGAACCTTTCGAAGCTGAAAGAATTTGAAGTTACCAACGTGCTTGTGATCCTCTATTGTAGAAGAGGGTGTTTTCGGCTCTTGTGTTAGGTGGCTAATATGTGTAGATGTTGTTAGTTCATTGAAGTAGATTTTGACATCTTCCTCTTACGCTTGTCTCGTGCCATGTGGAAAGCGGTAGGATGTTCTGGCCAAAAGTCATGAATATCCACTTTTACAGGGTCTGAGTAAACATCGAGATCTGAATGTGCTTTGAAGTGCTCTAGTGAATCAGTTTGTAACAGTTCGATACCAGATTCCTTCATTGGGTTAGCTTTCGTGAGGGATTGCTGTCAATTAGGCTCAACAGATTCCGCTATGATCACGTCT